AAGCCGTTGGATGGATTGTTGTCTGGCTGGGAGAGGAGCTGAGAGGGGAGATGAGCGTCGTAGCCAGACGAGTCGCGATCCGGCGCCGCGCCGTCCTCGGAGGCGGAAGCGGATGCCGAGGAGGAGAGCGAGGAGGGTTTGTGCGGCTTGAATGCGGGGGTGAGGAGAGGAGCTACACCGCTGGAGGAGGAGGCGGAGGACGAGGCGGTGTTGGCGGTTGCGGTGGTGGAGTTGGACGAGTAGGACTGCGGATGGGTGGGGGTGGTAGGAGCGGTGCCATTCTTGGGGGTGAGGATCGAGTCGAGGAAGGATCTTGCATAGCTGGTGGAGTGTTTGTTCGGCATTTGCGGCGACGATAGGAGGGGAGGACAGCTCACCGTGGGCTATCGTCCAACATGCGGGAAAGCGGAGGAGAAGGGCTAAGCAGGATCAAGGGCGCCGAAGACGGTGGCGTTGGCGTTGGCGTTGGCGGTGATGCGATGTCGACTGCATTGCAGTGAGGAGCGAGCCTCACCGAGCAAGAGCACAGTGCGTGTGTGCGCTAGGCGTGACGCTATACGCAAAGCTGCCGAGCCGGTTCCTGTCGAGATGAAGATGGACGAGGATGGATGAGGACGATGAGGTGGAGAAGGGAGGACGAGCTCTGATCCGACGCCGCTTCCACCAGGCAAACGCACCAAAAACGCGCACAGAGCAGCCGACAACGCAATTCTCTCTCGCATTTATTCAGCATTTTCCCCAAAAGGGGCGACGACGACTGCCGACAAATGCGTTTCGATTGCGATTCGCCGGGGAGGGCACGTTTCGCTGATCAACAGAATGTCAGACTTTGGATTCACACATTTTCGATTTTCGGCTCCGAGACGCGTCGAAGCGGATGAGAAGACTGGAAGGCGGCTCAAAAGAGTGTTGCGTTGATGGACTGATTGCGCACGTCGGCTTCCGTCCCACCACCACCACCACACCGCTCACCCCATCCGACTCGGCACCATGTCCTACTCCAACGGTGGCGCCAACATGCAAGGCGCTGGTGCTGCTGCTGGCTCTGGCGTTGCATCAGCCTCAGCCGCCTCCACCTCCCGATCCAGACGCGAGCTCATCGATCGCGTCAAGTATCCCAACCCCATCCCTCTCCCGCCCTACCCACCCAAGCTCGTCAAGATCCCCGCAGAGCCGTCCAGATACGCAAACGCTCACTTTGCTGACCGCCTCGCAAGTCAGCAGCCCGTGCCCCTCATCGTCGACGTACACGCCGGTATGCCCATCGACCTCGCCAACTTCCAGAACCTCTGGGAGGGCGATCTCTCTGAAGTCTCCGTCCCGGCAACCGCCTCTCTCAACGCCCAAGACCTCGACGATGCAGACGCCTTCCTCCTCCAGGACTTTGCCACCAACCTCCCCGCTGCAGCCACCACGAACTCGGCCCCCGGCGCCATCGGCCTCATCACCTCGCTCAATGCCACCGACGACCCCGCATCACAGGCTGCACTCGCAGCCGCCCTCCAGCAGCGACACACACAGTCTCTCGGCCCAGGCGCAAAAGCCGCACTCGCAGCAGACGACGTCTCCTGGCTGCGTAGGACCGAGTATCTCGGCACCCACCTCAAGGCTCAGCAACAGGTCCAGAAACCAAAAGTCACTCAGCGCATCGACATCTCCCGCGAAGCACAACTCGCAAAGATCGAACAGTCCTTCAAGGATGCACAGCAGCCACTCGCCTCCCTCAAGCATCCGCACAAGCGAGGCGTCAAGGCCGTACAGGTGTTCGACTTCCTCCCGGACCCAGAGACCTGGGCCACCAACTACCAGGTCGTCCGCTTCATCGACCCGCCCGGTCGCATCGTCAACGGCGTACCCCAACCAGACCCTCGTCTCGACGTAGCCATCCTCCGCCCCGTCTCCGCAGCAGACGGCGAACAGCGCGTCTCCTACTATCTCCCCGCAGGCGAAGACATCCCCGAGGATCCAGAAGAGCCCATGACTTTACTCGACAACCCGGACAAGGAGGAGAACAACGCACGTAGACTCCGAAAGCGAAGACGCACCGGCAAGTTCCCCATTCCCCCGCAGGACGAAGACCAAGCCGAATCATCGCCCAAGCTGCTCAAACGCGACTATGCCACCGCCTACAAGCTCGCGCGCGACTACGTTCCCAAAGACACCGCAGAGACCGCGCACGACGTGCTCGTCCTCACCCTCGACGACGGCGTTCCCGATGCAGATCCAGATGCCAACTTTGACCCCATCAAAGGCGCCGTCTCCGCCCCAGCCAACCCCGCAGACGAGGATGACGACGATCTCTTCGGCGACGACGACGACGAGGACACCAGTCCCAAGGGCGACAACGCAGGCGACCACATCGACTCTACCCTCCCGCCCCAGTCCGAATCCGAGCGCCAGAAGCGTTCCAGGCGAACCGCAGCCACCAAGGGCAAGGAGCGCAGCGAGCAGCCCGCCGGCGACGGCCTCACTTCCACCGCACCACCCAAGGCACGCGCCTACTACCACAAGGTGGGCATGCGCTTCACTTTACGTGTATGGCGATCGCGCTTCGCCAACAACGAGAAGCTGCGCAACCGCGACCGTCGCTACCCGGGCAAGTGGGACGCCATCCTGCTCGCCAACCGCGAGCTCACCGAGCGCGAGAAACTGCGTCGCCTCCACGCGCGCAGCAACGTCGACGACGTCGGCCACCTCGACCCGTACGAGCCCAGCGACGACGAAATCGAGGAGGTCGTCGAGCCTGCCGACGAACATGCTGCTGATGCCGATGCAGCAAGCCAGGAGGCCGAGCGCGACGAGCCGCGTGCCGATGCAAATGGCGATGCAGATGCTGATGCCGACGCAGATGGCGCTGCCAGTGACAACGACGCAGAAAAGTCGGACGGCGCAGACGACGACGATGACGAAGACGACGACGACGATGACGAAGATGGCACCGTCGATGGCGATGAGGAGCTCGCGGCGTTGCGTGCAGAGGCCGAGGATGCCGGCGAGGATCTCGATGTCGACGATGGCGCAAGGCGCCCCCGCTCCCGCCGTTCCGCTCCCTCCACCGACGCCGCAGCAGCCATGGAAGAGGACGACGACTAAACAACAGCCGCGCCCTTTCCACTCGTCCCGCATGCAATACACGATTCCATCAGAACGATTACACATTTCGATTCGTCTTCTAGCTCTCGGCTTCTCATTATAGGTGCGGAGTAGATGTCGTCTAAGGGAGTATGGCCAGCTGCGTGTCAGGGGTGCATGAGGTACGCGTCCAGTGTGTCCATTTGTGATGCGTCGCGCAGAACTTGGGGCATGGCGTCGTCCCATGACGCACTCCACTTGGTCTCGACACCAGTGTGCTTGTCTGCCGGTTGCGCAGGAGGAAAGAGGAAGGGATCGTGGGTGCAGTTTTGTCGGTACGGCGACTTGTTCCCCGTCGGCGCGTTCATGTAGAACCCCGGCTGGAATTCGGCCCCCACCGAGGCATCCGCAAAACAAGCGGCCATGCCTTCACCGAATGGGACCGGGTCGAGCGGCATCGGTACGTCCTCTGTGTGCTGAATCTTTGCTTGCTCCGGGGAGGAGGTTTGAGATGGCGTGCGCTCTTCGGAGGCTGGTTCGACGTCGTCGAGCAACGCACGTAGCACGTCGAGCGATTCCTGCCGTGTCGGTTGCGGGTCGACCCAGCTCGGCGTCACGCAGTGCAGGCGACTCTGGGCCCGCACCGACGGATCCCACTCGCGCAGCGGCATGGCAAAGATCAGCAGCTCGTGGCGGTTGGCTAGCGCCAAAGCATCGGCATAGTAGCTCGGAACCTCCTCGGGCGAAGGCTTTTCTGTCAGTGGGCCAAATGCTGTTGTCTCCAACGGTTGCTTGTACGAGGGCACTGCAGGTGAGTTGGTGGGCGTCGATAGTTCGCTGGAAGACGAACTCGATGTGGACGATCTCCGGGCACGATTGGGTGTGAGTGGTACCGGGGTATGCTGCTGCGATGGTGTGGACAGTGCTCTTCGCACGGGTGTACGCCTGATAGACGGAGATGCGGATTCCGACCGCCGAAGAGAGTCCTTGCTGTACGTGTTCCATGTACACTGCTTGTTCTGCTTGATGCACCGCTCGCACGAATCCGAACCGGGTGCAGGACCAGGACACTTGCGATGGTTCGTCCCTGTACAACGACCACCCACAACAACGATCAGCTGCGTCCAGTGTAGAGGACAAGAGGCGATACTTACGACATATATCGCACGCTTTAGCTGCACGAAGCCTCTTCGGCTTGGTGTCGGGACCCTCGATAGCTTCCATCCTGCGTGTATAGGTCGATGTCGTAACCGCTTAAGCCGAGTCGAAGGAGGAGGTGCACAAGCACGACGTCCGAAGAAGGTATCCATTCTTGTAGTTGCAGACAGGGTGCGGGAGCACAAAGCGGGAGAAGGGGTCCGGTCTGCAAGAGGGTAGTTCTGGAGCTGACAGTGTCCACACCGGCATCAAGCTCGATAGCTTTGTTCGGACGTTTTGTTTTGACGAGAGACTCGTTTTGAGAATGCCCTACGTCTGGTAACGATCACAGTGAAGGAGTGCCGCCAACAATCTCAAATCCGCGGCGTCGTGAGAGAGGTGTCAACATCTACTCATCACTCACTCCGTCGTCCGACGGATAGCGATGATCAAGCCAGAGGCACAAAACAAACCTGTGCAGTGCAAGAAGCTATGCGTCGCGACACGATTAGCTTTGTGACACACGCGAGGTTTCCGGCCAAATGAAGCTTCGGGCCTTTCAAACGAGCTTGACCGCACCTCAACACAACAGTGCGAGCCTACGCAATCCACACATTCTCAGTCACAGCAAAGGTCACACAGCGAGCAGCGCGGGAAGAAAGGCACGGGGACTCATGGCGTTCTCGAAATTGGCGCAGTGAACGACATGTGGGAAATGCGACACGTCCGACTTGCGGTTTGCAGCAGATGCGCGGGGCTCGATCAGCGGTCCTCCGCCCATTCCTGTTGGTCGGGCACAGAGAGCAAAGAGCGATACGGGTGATAAAAGTCAGTGACGTGCTCGGCTTGGCAAGTGCGCTTGCAAGGGAACTGGTGTCGGATACTCACGTTTTCCTTTCGGATCTGTGCCTCCTCCTCGGGCGAAAAGTCGTTCTGGATGTTGAAGAGCTTTCGAATCTCCTCGGGTGTCTTTCCCTTGATCATGTTGGCCCTGCGAAGGAGGAGCTGGGAGTCAGTAAGAGCCTGCTTGCCCCTTTTGATGGAATCGATGGAAGGGCAACACGTACACTGTCTTGCAGCCGACGTCGAGGAGCGGCTTGATGTCGAGGTAGTTGGCTGCCAAGATGATCTCGAAGAGCATCTCCTGGTCGACCTGGATGAACTTGGCGTCCCAGTCCGAGATGTCGGTTGTGCGTCTGCGAGACTCCTCGGCGTCATCTGCGGGTGCGGGAGGGTCGCTGCGGTGGTGAGAGCAGTACTCGAGGACCTGTTACGTAGCAGCAGAACAGCGAAAGACGAAGCATCAGCTTCTGCGCGTAGTGCTCTCTCAAATGACCGGCTGGGCGCCACGGAAACCTACCTTCTTCAAGACGTTGGAAGACACGTTGGGAAGGGGAATTGGCTGTTCGGTGTCTCCGATGTCTGTGAGTGCGGAGTTCGAGAGCAGCAGAGGAGGCGGTCAGTCATGTTGTAGCTGAATACGAGATCGCTATCGTGCCCTGGGGCTCTGACTCACCTTCGAGCATCTGCTTGATGAGCACGGATCGCTCGGCGACATCGCGGTCGACGGTGAACTGCTCGTTGTCCGAGGTGGTGAGGCTGACCATGGTGGTGGTACAAGATTGCAAGCTGGGTGGGTTGCGGTCCGGCTCGAGCGTGCGAAAAGGGATGTGATGCCGTCGAGGNGGTGAGGCTGACCATGGTGGTGGTACAAGATTGCAAGCTGGGTGGGTTGCGGTCCGGCTCGAGCGTGCGAAAAGGGATGTGATGCCGTCGAGGCGCGTGGTGATGAGGGCGAGGAGGTGAAAGGGCAAGATGGAGTCGACGCGCAACTGAGCCCTGATCCATGCATTTGGGCATTTGGCGGGCGCGCGAGCCCCGAGACCCGTGAAATGCACACTCGCTCCGCTGGCCTGGATTGGTGTGGAGCAGCTGCCAGCCGCCGCTGCCTCGCCACCGGAAATTCGAGGAGTGGAGCGTGATCTGATCGCATCGCACTCGCCGCCTGCGCAACTGCGCCCAACTTCCAAATACCCGATGCCCCCCCCCCCGCACACATGCACACACGCGCCAAAGGGACTTCTCTGAATGCATGAAGATTGCGGGTGTTGAACAGCATTAGACGAGAGACAAGGTTGAACTAGTCGTACAAGCAGAGAGAGAGAAAGAGTGCCGAGATGTATCATGTGTATGATGGAAACAAGATGCGGGAACGAGACCGAATGGACGAAAGAGGTATACGGAGAGAAAAGTACGATGCGTTGTTGAAAGCAAAAGAGACAGAATGCGTGACGTTGCGTTGAGAAGCCCCGGGGAGTGGTCGTGGTTTGTTGGATTGTCCGAAATACGACGAGATTGACGAAATGCAAATGTGGGAAAGTGATGGATCAAGCATCAAGCCAAGTTGCTTGGATGCCACCGAGGCGCCGCAGTTGATGCAGCCCTCGGCCCGAGCGAGCATCAGACAGGCTGAGGCTCGCTAGAGTGTGTCCATGACAGGTGCACCGCCGCTTCAAGCAGCCGGTGCGGGAGTCTGCGTAGCTGCGTGTCCGTTGGCAGCGCCGCCGTTGGCGAGCGAAGAGATGGCCTTGGAAACCTTGTCCGCGGCGTCGCTCACGCTCGCGCCCAGGCCCGAGAGCGCGCCCTTGGCCTCGGCGCCCTTGGCAGCGCTGAGGAAGGGCTCAAAGATGGCGTCGGATGCCTTGAAGTCGTTGTGCACCACGTTCACGAGGAAGTAGTTGTCAAACATGGCCTCGAGGAACTTGCGAGAGGGCGACGACGGCTCGTACACCTTGGCCCAGTTGCGTCCGATCTCGTACGCCTCGTCCTTCCACGCCAGGAACGAGATCGACTCGACGATCGTAGGCTGGATGATCTCGCAGTGCGGGAAGACGCCCCAGGTGACGGCGTTGGGCGCCTCCGAGTTGGTGTTGGTGCGCATGTCGCCCTGCGCGTTGACGGCGTGGTAGGTGATCTGCACGTCGGCCTCGATGCGAGCGATGAGCGCATCCAGATCCTCGGGCGACACAAAGAACTCGAGGTACGCCTTCTGGTAGACGTAGCCGTTCTTGGGGCCCCAGCCGTGCACCTTGTCGTCGCTGCGAGCGCCGTCGACGGCAGGCTGCGAGTTGATGGTGAGGAAGCCGAGCTGGTTCATCTTGGTGAGCTTTTCGCTGATCACCGACGTCTCGCGTGCGACGGGTGTCTCGGACCAGGGGAGCGCCTTGATCTGGCCGGCGCAGAATCGCTGGAAGAGCGCCTTGACGTCGTCGAGCGACTGGGGCGTGCCCCACATCTCCTTGGCCTCGTCGTTCGAGTAGCGCAGCTTGACACCGTACGCGTCGACGTCGCCGTAGGCGGGGGAGCGGGCGTCGCCCCAACGACCGTTGGGGAACTCGTCCCAGGTCTCTGTGCGGTTGACGTAGCTCTTCGCGCGGTTGGCCCAGAAGATGGGGCGGATCTTTTCGTCACGCCTCTTGGGCGTGAGACTGGGAGTCCAGGGGAGCGGGCTGACCTGGTTGACGGAAGGCGTGAGGCCGAGGTAGTCAAGGAGCATGCGCGAGCCCTTTTCGAGGTTCATGGTGTAGATGTGCAGGCCGCTGATGCCGAGGCCCGTGCCGACGATCTTCTTGCACATGTCGCCGACGAGGCGAGTGCCGATCTCTCGCACCTTTTGGTCGTCGTCCTTGACCGGGTCGAGGGCGTCGTGGAAGTACTGGGGCACGAGCGTGCCGAAGCGAGCGGTGGCGCGCTGGAATCCGCCGTAGGTCTGGATGGGCATGACGCCGGGGATGATGGGGCAGGTGATGCCGGCGGCCCTGACGTCCTTGACCCACTTTGCGAAGATGTCAAAGTCGTAGAACATCTGGGTGAAGATGAAGTCGGCGCCTGCGTCGATCTTGGACTTGAGGCGCTCGAGCTCCTTTTCGGGGCCGTCGACTGCCTCGGGATGGCCCTCGGGGAAGCCTGCGACGGCGATGGCAAAGTAGTCTCCGTACTGCTGGCGGATGTACTCGACGAGCTCCTGCGCCTGGGTGAAGCCGGCGGCGTGCGGCTCCCACTCGGACTGTCCGGCGGGAGGGTCACCACGGAGGGCGAGGATGTTGCGGCAGCCGAACTCCTTGGCCTCCTTGAGGGCGGTGTCGATCTTGTCGCGAGGCATGTTGGTGCAGGTGAGGTGCATGCACGTCTCGAGGCCGATGTAGGTGTGGACGGTCTTTACGAGCGAAGCGGTGAGGTCGGAGGTGCGACCGCCTGCGTTCCAGGTGATGTCGACGAACTCGGGGCCGAGATCGGCCATGCGCTCGATACGGTCATAGAGGTTGGTGAGGCCCTGGGCGGTGCGGGGCGGGAAGTACTCGAAGCTCCACCAGATGCGGCCTTCCTTTTCGGCCTTTGCGATCTTGTTGGTGATCTTCCAGGAGGTGTCGCCCTTGGGCGGAAGAGAAGGGGTGTCGATGCCGTTGGCCATGGTGAGTGGCGGTGATGGATGGCGAGGGGTGAAGGGAATATTCTAGATCGGAGGCGACGTCAAGCTGGAGAATGAAACGTGCCTATGAACTCAGAACAGTGACCCGAACACTAGAGAGGCTATGAATACGTTATGGCGGTATGCAAGATAGTAGCAAGCTGGTAGGGCTTGGCGGCGATGTGATAGGGGCAGGGGAAGGGTGAGGGTGGGGGATGGTGGTAGCAGCGATGCAGCGAAAGGGTGCAAAGGGTCGCACTTACGGGTGGCGAAGATCGACTCATCAACAGCCAATTGTGGCCGTTTTGGGTTGGCCATCCGACTTCTTCTTCAACAGCCTCGAGCGGCGCTGTGGAAAATAGGCAGAAATTAAGCGTGAAATGTGTCGGTGCACCCTGGCTTCCCGTCGCCTCCGCCGCCCCCGCGCGCTGACCGACAATTTTCACAGGTGCCCACAATTTCCGACTTTTACTCGCGAATCAGCGGCTTCTTGTGTGCTGGACCTGTGATGATCTGATCTTTGTTCCGATGTTGACATGTCGCTGGTCGCAGCTGCAGCCCAAGAAAACGTGGGGCGGCCATGCATCCCACAGAACCGATAATTGCTGTGTAATGCTTACAAATCAAGCTTGGCGATGCGCACGGCCACCTCCACCCTTGCTGGCGCTGCGAAGAATCATCATTCCATCCCATCCTTCACCATCACCGCCTCGTGCGTCCCTTGACCTTTCCCTGAACATCGTCGCATTTTGCATCATACGTCTTTGGGCCAGCAAACCATGTACGCCGCCGCACCGACCCTCTGAATTCTCTCCCGCCTCTTTCCGCGCACATCTCTCGTTCATGCACGAAGATGATCAGCATCAAACTCGCACAACTCAGGAGCGTGCCAACATGAGTCGATTTCGCATCCGCAGTCGAGCCGCAAATCTGCTGTCATCCAGCGCAGACTACCTCGCATCTCGTGACTGGCAAGCCGTCGCCGGCTCAGCCCGTGCCCGCTTCCAGCCCCAACTTGCCGCCGCCGACCCGACATCCCACTCGCGCTCGCCCTCGGCCGCAGCCTCCTTTTCATCGAGCGCACCGCTCCCTCGCTTCAGAGACATGTCGCTCCGTGCAGGCGCACAAAACATTGTCCTCCTCCCCGGTTGGGCTCAGCGAAAGGTGGCACGCGATCGCCATCCCCAGGGCTGGGCCACCGTCGATGCACCCGAAGACCTCGAGGACGGAGAGATCGAGATCCACGTCTCCATCCACGGCTTTGCTTCCAAAGTGCTCGACTCTCCCAGCCGCAGTCAGCGCATCTTCAACCAGATGGCTCGTCAGCTCGCAGGCCTCCCTCGCATACAGTCCCTCACCCCCGATTCCAGCGTGCTTCAAGCTTCCCAGCCATTCGTCGACGAACCCCAAGAGATGGACAGCAGTCAAGTCTCTCTGCCCCAGGACACCGAGTCATCCAGTCATCCGCATAGCTCCGAAAGGATCGCACGCAAGCTCATCGAAAACGCCGACGACGAGACGCTCGTCCGCCTCATGGAAAACCTCCACGCCTTTCCCACCGATCACGCCGCCGCCAAAAAGGCAGCTCAAGGTCCCAGCCACGATCACGAGCCGCTCCACCAAAACGTCCCCTCCATCCGCACGCCTTCCAGATCCGACACCGTCCTCTCCGGCGGCTCGGCACAGTGGCTCAATCGCAGTGCAGACGAGGTCTCCTTGTTCCACCACAACCTCTCTCGCCGCTTGCACGACTACTGGGTCTACCGTCTCCCGCATCACGATGTCTTTATCGAAATCTCTCCGGTAATTAATGGAGACATTGCACGCGATTCTCACGGCAACCGTCTCATCATGGCCTCAACTCGTCTCACTGCAGACGCCACCGGCCAGTTTGAGCATCGCCTCATCATCCCCTGGCACATGCTCAATGCCTTTTGCCGGCACTACGCCGACCTGCTCCAAGCAGCACCCCACCAGATCCAAGCCCTCGACGTCAAGGCCACGCTCCTCGCCGACTCCTCCGATACCGCATCATCAGGTCCAGAATCTCCCTGGCGCCGATGCTCCATTCACGAAGACCATCCGCGTCGCGTCAGGGTCATCTCTGACATCGACGACACCGTAAAGCATACAGGCGTCGTTCAAGGTGCAAAGCAGATCTTACGCAATGTCTTTGTGCTACCCTACAAAGACGCCGAAGTCAAAGGCATCTCGTCTTGGTACCACGCCATGACCGATCTCGGTGTCGGCCTGCACTACGTCACAAACGCGCCTCTCGAGCTTCACAACCTCGTGCTCGACTTCCTAGAGGCAGTTCGTTTGCCCATCAGCCATCTGGTCTTGAAGCACTATCCGAGCGGTGCCCGCAGCCTCTTTTCCAGCTGGCTCGAACCCGCCGGCGAACGCAAGCGCGCAAACGTCGCCAAGATCCTCGACGACTTTCGCACCTCTCAATTCATCCTCATCGGCGATTCTGGTGAGCTTGACCTCGAGCTCTATTGTGCGTTGGCTGCAGAACGTCCTTCTCAGATTCGTGGAATCTTCATCCGCGACGTCAGCACACCAGCGGCTCGCGCATCCGACTCCTCCGCATTCTCCGCCTCGTCGGCTTCTGACGCGCCCACGACGAGTACCGCTGCCTCTGCAGGCCAAACCTTGCCCTCGGCTCCAAAGAGTGCTTTAACGCAACCGAGTCCGATCCGTCGAACCGATGCGCCAGAGATTCCCTTCTTCGACACCTCCTATCCGCCCAGGGCGCCCACAGTCTTGGATCTGCCAACCTCAAATTACACCGGTCGAGCTGCCGAAGCTGTCCGAACCTCCCGGGCGCTCTCTGAGCAAGAGATCAGGCAAGCCCAGATTTTCCAAACACGGCTCAACAAGGCTACAAGCATGCTCCCTTGCACCACCGTCTTCAGACTTTTCAAGGAGGGCGGCGACGTCCAAGACCAGGCCTGTCAGCTCATTCGTGAGCTACAGAGCGGCACCAGACCCGCCGATCGTACGTCTTGACGCGATTCTCCACATCCGCTGGCGCCAAACTCTCTCCGTGCCATCACCGGTTCGAACACGATCAACAGAGTCAATGCCTACATGATCCTATGCGAGCGCATCCACAATCTGCTTGAGTGCATCGACGTGCATGATGTGCGTGCTTCCAGCGTGAAATACGATCATGATTCAGATTGTAAAATGTTGCGAGGTGCGTCACCAAAAATGTCTTCGGATTCAACCGCATAGCCAACGCAGTTGGCATGCCTTTCGTGCGGCTACGCAGAAGGCTGGCGCTTGGCTCTGAGCTAAGCCTGAAGCTTCCGGTTTCCACTATAAGTTGTAGGCCTCAGGTTTGATCCCTGGCACGTCGGTGCCGCAATTGGCCGTCTTTACCTTTCGGTTCGTCGAATACAAGAGTTGATTCATTGTATAAATTTCTCGTCTCTGACGCTCCGCATCGTGCCTCATTCCGTTTAAGCAAAGCAAACGCCCCAATTAAGAAGGCATCACAGATGACTGAGTGTGTCTTGCGACCAACCCGAGGGTTAACTCCTGGAAGGCATGGATCACGATCAATTCATGATTTACGATTCATGAACAATCTTTTTGGTCTACCAATGCTTTTGCGGATCTGGGTCAGGTCAGCTCGCGAGGCCCTTGTTGCATGAATCGATGAACAGCCCCAGTTCTCAGTCGCGAAGGTGCAATCATAATGACGCATATGTTCGGCGGGGCACCTGCAATGCGCCTTCAATGTCTACGAATCATTAATTTCGCAGATCATGATTATCGAGTTTTGCGCCGGGAGTGATGACAATTCCGAAAATTTGAGGCGAGATTGGCCATATACATTAGGAATCTGTGCGCTTGATCAGTTAGGGTCCATGCTGGTTATGATTCTTCATTACCAAGAGCTCGACTTAGCCAATTGCCAGATAGAACGGTGGGCTAGCGTTCGGCTTTGAGAATGTACGGCCCCACTTTCAAGAGACAAATCATGAATGCAGGCCGCATGTCCGTAACCCAGCAAACGCGACAGATAAGGCACATGGCCTTGAGCTTCCGCTGCTCAATGAGAGCTTGCAAAGCTCGCCGCAAACTAGACGCTAGACTATTGTCACAAGACGTTGTGGTTGTCTACCTACACTTTGGTGGCCATGGGGAAGCTCTTCGGTGGGCCAGCTTGCCTTTCTTTGTCTTACAGGGTGACTCACAGCAAGACCCAAGGCTTGGCAACGCAACTTGTAGGGGCAATGGCAGCATCTCGTTTGCGATGCGGCGAGTTACTACCAGCAATTTTGAGCCTTCAATCCGGTTTTTCGTTAGTTAGGAATATCACCCATAATGCCATGCTTCATAGATAGTGTCTAAGTCAATGACTGTGACGTTTCAGGGTTTAGGCTTGTGGAACGTTAATGTTCAGCCCTGTAAGTAAGTACGAGGAATTTAGGTGTGTACAGATCATTGCTTCACCCACAATGACCGCTTCACGGACATATCCAGACAAAACATTAAGCAATGAGCACTCCGATAATTATTAGCTGAGATTTCGAACGCCATGTAAGTTATTACAACATCAGGTGGACCGAAACGTCCTAGGGTTAATGCTTCCGCCAATTTCGGAGATTGCACCGAAGAGTTTCGACAACGAAGCTGATAGAATTTTGAAATTATAATCTCGAAAAAGCGTGTTTCACCAATCACAGTGCTGAGGAGACATCAGTCAGGCTGCTGTGACGCCGGACATCGTCTCAAAGAAAGTTGACCCCCGTCTGGCAACCAATAGCAGACTAGGAGCTCTTATGTAATGTAGGTGGCCCATTGAAGAAACAGGCACATAAGTGAGGCAAGAATCACGAAAACGGTATAGACATCCGGCGAGTTTTTTGACGCTCATGACGAGATTTAGTTGGCGCCCGAGAATAAGCTAATAAAACGGCGTACGCAACGTGCAAGAAACGGGGACTGACGTGAGTGTAGGGCTTCCAAGCGTGTCAGTGATCTTTGTGTTTCAGCCTTTTGCTCAATTTTTTAACGAAGCATGACTCAGGCCCAGGACTCTGAGATTGTGGTACTTACTCGCACGATCAAGCAAACTGAATTCGATCAAGTGGATCAAATCATTCCAAGGACCGAATTTCATGCATAAGCAGCCTCGCAAAATCAGTTACGTTATGGCCACTGTCGTGGATGTGCTAATGCGCGCATTCTCGTGAATTTTAACTCTTCTCAGAAAACGACGCAAGAGAGACAAAGGTAGAGATCACGAATCACAAAATCGTGTGTGCACGAGGTATCCATGCACCTTCCGTCTGTACTAAATCACGTTTCCTTTTCCCGTTGCGTGTACCCCATCAATAGCTGATCTCCTGGAGCAAGGGTCTGAGTGTCGCTCCACTTCTTCTGCCCTCCTCGGGCATCATCACGACGACCAGAAACCGACAGATGGCTCACAAATGCCCCAGCAGACTCTAGCAAGTGGAAAATATGGACCAGTAGCTTCGCTCATGCACAAATTCAAAGCACGAGGATGAAGGCGCCGAACCCCCGGAGGTGAGTTTAAGCGGATTGGCTTGAAGCGTGTGACAATTCTCACTTTGCACCTTCTTTATCATGTTGCGGTCCGGAGAGATGACAAGATCCGAATCGCTCTCTGGGGCCTGGTCGTGTCCAAGCCGAAGGGCGACTTCCTTCGGCAGCCCTCTCATACACTGATGAACGAACCAGTCAGAGCGTCGATCTGATGCATCTTCTGCCGTTCGTCATATCTGCTTGTTTCTGCTTCTTCCATGTTTGAGCAACGATGCAGAAGCTGCCTGCATGCTTGGGTCCCGTTTCCACAGTCACGACTCACGGTTGATGAATGATCTTCAGTGTAATTCTCTGAGGCCACGGCATGCATAATGATACGCCGGGGCATGAAGATGTGTGGGTGAGATTGCCCGTAAAGGACGCTTGACACGGGTTGGAAGAAGCGAATCAATGACCGATGGGCTGGGAAGGATAGCCACTGGAGCTTCCGATGTTCATGTTGCCCAACTGCTGATTGAGGGCGGACGGATCTGGCTGCGAGGGATATGCGCCAGCGTAACTACTTCCGGACGGCTGACTTGCGCCCTGGAAGTGCTGTTGTTGAAAGGCCTCGCTTTCGGCGCGCGCCCTTTCAAAGAGCCTGCGCTTCTCGTCGTCTTGGGGAACCGAGGAGTACTGCTGGTCATGGTGCATGGACTGGTAGGCGGAAGCGGGCTGCTGCTGTGGATGCGGGGAGGCGTGCGTCGTGGGAGCGTAGCCAGCGTCTGCTGGCCTGGCAGACGAGGACTGAGGATAAGCGTTTGGTGGCTGAGTGTGGTAGGGGTACTGGCTCTGGTCGTGCGTGTTGGAGGCGGGCATGGCGGGATGAGGAGAGTAGGCCTGTGCGGAGGCCCAGCCGTTTTGGTTGGCATAGTCGGCCGAGGAGGCCGAGGGGTGTTGTTGGAGGTCTGGGCGCGGGCGGAGGTAGTCCTGGCTGGACTGGCCGGCGGGGTTGTAGCGCGAGAGGCTCTGCTCCATCATGTCGTCAAAGGAGCCTCTTGCGCGCACAAACTTGTCGTTCATGGCCTTGAGTTCGGTGATCTTGTTGGAGTAGCGGTCGATGAGCTTGACGATCTTGGGACGCATGGCGAGGGACTTTTGGTAGAGTTCTTGGAGCTCCTCGTCTTCTGCGAGATTGTCGCGAGCGGGGTCGATGCTGCGAAGCTTGTTGAGCAGCCTGTCAATGTCGGCAGCTTGAGAGAAGATTCGCGCCTCCATCTCTGCCTCCCTCTGGAGCTCGGCGGGAGAAGGGTCGGGGAGGACCTCGACGTAGTTGACGGGGAAGATGCCGGTCTCGCCGCGAACCTCACCCCTCCACCAGTGCTCGTAGACGCTGTCCAAGACACGAATGATTTCGCCGCGGGAGAAGGCGAGCTCACCAGGCTCGGTGGGAGCGAAGTCGTACAAGGCACGTACGCGGGATGCACCGGCAGGCGTGGGCGGCGCGGCGGTGGATTGGTTTGGCTGCGTAGCGACGTTGAGCTGGCTTGGCTGGGGATGAGAAGAGGGCGCGGTAGATTGGGCAGGTGGTTGCTGCTGCTGCTGCTGCTGCTGAATGGCGGAGCTGGAAGCGGCTGTGGCGGAGGAGCCGGACGCCTCGGGCTGCTGCGAGTTGTAGGCGGACCAGGCCTGGCGACCGCCCTGATCCTGGATGGATAGTTCGAGGGCCCTTCTGAGCTCTTCATCCTCTGCTCGGAGCTGCTCCGAGGTTGGCTCTTTGGGAGGCTTGGGAGCCGAGTCTTCTTCTTGGACTGCGTCCTGGGACTTGAGGGAGTTGTAGGTCTCCTTCATGAGGCCGAGGCTCTCGTCGTCGAACTCGCCTGCCCACTCCTTTACGAGGGCATAGCATCGCTTCTTGACGGCTGCGTGGGTGTTGCGATCCAAGCAGGTGCGTGCGAGCGTCTGTGTGAAGGAGCGACTTGCGAGTTCCTGGTGTGCGGTCAGGCTGCAGTTTTTGGCGACGGCATCGGCGAGAGTGAGCGAGTAGAGCTGGACGTTTGCGTTTCGATGCACGAGTCGCTTCTGGATAGCAGCGATGCAGTTGCGCGCTCTAGAGGAGAAGAGAGATCGAAAACAGGAGTGTCAGAAGGCATCGAACGACTCGGCAGAGCGGCTGTTGGGGGGAATACTCACGCTGTCTCGCCGCCGGACGAGACCTTGTCGCATACTTCGAGGTTGAGCTCCCAATTCTCTGCGGTGAGCTCGTCCGAGGTTGCGTTTGCGACGATGTCCTCGAAGGGGTTCTTGGCTGCAAACATCTTGCAGGTGTGTGGTGGGGGTGGGTATGACGGTATGGCGGGTGGTGAACGGGAGGGAAGGGCTGAGTTTCGAATGTCGGTCAACTGTGGAAAGGTGTGGGTCTGTGCTCTGCCGAGTGATGCAACTGCGCCTCTCCTGAAGATGATTTCGCTGCTGTGCCGTGGAAGCCCAGACGACACCGCCACACGCCCGCCCTGCGAAATCCAACGCCTCGAGCTGGCTTAGTCGGAATTACGTGAGAAAAGATGGATTGCCAGTGGACCCTGCCCAGAAGTGGTTTGACGGCAGCCAGCATGCTTACCATCACCAACACCATCACCCGGCCAAAAAAAAAGAAAAAAAAGGAGCAAGGCCGTCATGACTGCGACTGCCGGAGCAGGCCTCTCTGGCATCAACCTCAGCGAGATCCGCCTCTCTGTCGATGACACTGACGCCCAGTCGGACGACGGATCGGGATCCTTCGCGAGCGCCGCCAGCAGCCCCAGGCGTTCGATCGACGACGACACCCCGCCAGCCTTTCCGAGCCTCAACAGCGCTCAGCGACAGAGCTCTGCATCAACAAGCACTGCTCTGCGCGCGCCTGCGCCTGCGCCAACCAAAGCGGCAGCTTTTCTCCAGGCCGTCGCACCCCGAAACACGCCGTCCACCTCGGATTCGCTCATGGCCCCGCCACCCACCTCGGCATCGTCTCGCACCGGCGGACTCGCAGCACCACCGTCCACATCGGCGCTCACTGCGCCTCTCGGTGTGGGAGGAGCATCAGGCGTGCAGGGAGACGCTGGGAAGAAGCGCAAAAAGGTGGCGCTCGCTCCCGGATGTAGCCCTCTCGATTGGGCAAGACTCAAGAACAGCACCGACCTCCGAGGAGGCGTCACCTCGTTGCTCAGAGTAACGCCGTCCGAACTCAAGAAACACAACTCCAAAGAAGACGCCTGGTCCGCCTTCTACGGAAAGGTGTACAACATCACGCCCTATCTCCGCTTCCATCCCGGCGGCGAAGATGAACTCATGCGTTGCGCAGGCCGTGACGGCACCCGCTTGTTTGGTACGTCGTTGTTCGTGCGCAAATGCATCTCAGGCTCCAGTCGCTCACCCCTTTCCTTCCTGTCTCGCCTTTTCTTGCCACCGCAGCACTTACACATTCATGGGTCAACATCGACTCTATGATCGACACCGCTATGGTCGGCGTCCTCACCTCCGAGTCCTGAACACCTGCTCACGCATCCGACACAAGAGCAGCTCGCCTTGTCGCAGCATAGAAGTCTGCATATACCCGTGGAATTCAGACAACTCCATTCGACCTCGAGCGTGTTCTGCTTTACAAATGTCTATGCAAACCCAACGAGGCCAACACCCTTCTGGCGTCGGATCGCAAAGAGCTGCTTGGAGATCATTCCGTACGTCGCTTTCCTCGCCAGGTTCTGCCCGTCTTCAAACGCCTCGATGCGACTGGGCACCTCGCCCTCCTCGTGGCTTCGCGCCTGCATCCACACCTGCATGCCCGACGCAGCCCACCACTCGTGGCCGCGCACCTTGAGTTCGTCGATGTTGAGCTGGTGCGGCTCCTCCGACACGAGCATCTGGAAGATGACAAAGGCCGTCATGAGCACCTCGGGCGTAAGCTGAGCCGCCGTCGCTGCACCCGACGCCTCGCTCGTCGTCGTCGTGGTCGAAGAGGTCTGCACCGAGCCGACTGAGTAGTCGCCCAGATTCGGTCGATCGCCTCCGCTCATCAGCGACTTGAGCACGTCGAGCGTGTCTGCGTAGCTGGAGCTTTCGCGCTCGGGTGCGACAAAGCGGAGAGCGTCTCCAAACACCTCCCACACCTTTTGCGTGACGCGCTCGAGCTCGTCGGAACTCTGTTGCGCCGGGACGTGCAGATGCGATGGCGCAGATTCTTGGGTGTGCGCTGCCACGGCTTCCACCGGGATGTCGGCAGGGAGGATGGCAGCAGAGTTGTCTGCCAACTCATTTGCATCGTCCGACTCGACGTGGTCCTGCTCGCCATGCTGGATCGTGAGGTCAGCATCCGCGTTGGAAGACTGCTGCAACAAGGTATCGTGGTGTGAGCTCGCGAAGGACGAGTCAGGCTCCACCGTCTCGTCGACATTGTGCTGTACTTGGGCAACCATGGCGGACTCGTCAGCTTCCTCGGCAACAAAGTCCGCGTCCGCCGTCTGGTTCGAGACGTCGAGAGGGCTGTCCAGCAGCTCTTGCTCGTCGTCTTGCGCCGGAGGTTGGCTAGCCTCGCGCACAGCTTGTTGGGCGCGTGCATCGTCAGCCGCGGATCGACCGAGCGATTCGCGTGGGAGCACACGCAGTGCACTGCGCTCGTGCGTCTGCAAGGTGACGTCGGCAGCGAGGGCAGCTTGCTGTTGCTTTTGAAGCTCCTGCTTTTGGCGATCGTTTCGGGCCTGACGCAGCTCGCCAATCATCTCGTCGAGCGCGAGGATCTCGAGTTCCTCCTTGCGGATGCTCTCCTGCACTTCCGACAGAAGCATGTTGGCCTCATCGAGCGCAGATGCCGCATTGTCCGGGTGCGACGCGTCGTGAGCTGCGCCGGCACCCGAAGCGACAGCACCGGGTCTTCCCTCTGCATTGGCACGCAGCTCGGCCTCGCTCTGACGAATCTGGAGCTCGTACGATTTGATGGACTGGGCGAGATTGGAGTGTGTCTTGAGGAGGCCCTTGATGTACTTGCGCGTGCGCGTGCCTTTGCCACAAGTTTCGTTGAGGCGGAGTGCAGCCATGAGCAACAGACGCGGATCGTCGTTGGCCTGATTCTGGCCCTGGAAGGTGGAGCCGGCATGGTTGTTGCGCAGCGGCGTTGGAGGAGCCACCTGCCTGGGTTCAGGAAGACGGGGCGCGAGGAGCAGGTTGGCGTCGGCGGTATCATCGCCGAGATGAGCTGCACTCGAGCTGCGAGTGGAGTGGGCGGAGCGATTGTGCGTCGAGGAGCTGGGGCCTGCGCGAGAGGCGGAGGCTGATTGGGGTACGGGCGGATACCAGAAGAGGTTTGCCTCGGTGTGCGCGTCGGCGTCGCGGATGTAGGTGTAGATGTCGAGACGCTCGCGATTGAGCACGGCCGAGGTGAATGGCGTAGCGTCGACGCCCTTCCTGGCGCGCCTACGGGCAGCTGCCTGGCGGCTGTTGATGGCCTCGAGCGTGTTGGTGAGCGACTGCAGTGCGTTCTCCATGGCTGTCGAAATTGCGAATGGAGATGGTGGTCGGACGGGTGGACGGGCTGGACGGGTGGAGAGAGAGAGACGCGCGCGGGTGTTGAGGTGTTGTTCTTTTTCTTTTGCCCGATGCGATTGGGAACGGCATGCGGTGATGCGCGTGGCATCGGCTCGGCGCGTGAACAGGGTCGAGACGCGTCGGACTAAGAGCTAGCTATTTCTTTTCTCGACCGAGAAAGCAGCGCCTCGGCCAAGTCCGAGCTTTGCAGAGGGTGAGAGAGCGCAACTCAGCCTCGGATCCTCGGCTCTTCTGCACGCTCTCTCGAAAAATCATCTTTTTTGGCCTATCGTCCAAGTCGAGCCATCTGGCAAAAGATAAAAGCCAGGCGAGCAACGCGCACCTCGCTCTCGCCCCCGTCTTTTGGTCGTTGTTTGTTCAATCCTACCGCCCATTGCGCCGTCTCGCTCCCTCGGATTTGTGCTTTGTGATCGGCGCACGCTGTAGCTGCTAACCACCCTCTCCCCTCTCCCCACTGCAGACCACCACCCGAGGAGTCGCGACTTGCCATGTGTGGCACTCGAAGGCCCAACGGCGCCGATGCCGACCTCTCGGCAATGGCTCGCGCCCTCTCGCTCCAGTCTTCGTCCACGCGCGACTCGTCGCCCGCTTCTAGCGACCGCAACGCCTTTGAGCAGGACGCAAACACCGCAGGCACTCCCCCCGCCACTCGCGCAGACGCCTCCCACTACTCGGAGGCAGACGAGAAGCGTCTCCACGAATCCGACGGTCACTACTGGGCCCACCGTCGCATCTCTTCCTCGCACCCCGAGTCTCCGGCAATCGACATCCCCGCTAGACTCCAAGGCTCCTTCACCGCTTCGTCTCAGAACGACTTTGAACCCACTTTCGCCTCCAACTCGCTTGCAGAGCGTTCCTCGGTCTTCTCCGCCGGCTCCCTCCAGGACGAGCGAAGATCCAACGCAGACCTCGACGTCTCGGGCGATGGCACTCCCGTACCTCCTCCCAATGTCGCAACCATCTTCCACGATGCTCCTGCCGACGCCCAGTCCGTGCCCAAACATCCCTCCATTCCTGCTGCCGTCAATGACCACGCCGCCCACTTTGCCGCCTCTCCCGCAGAGGCGGCAGCCGCGGCTGCAGGTCTCGGCGCCGCCCCTCATGCTCCCGTTGGCGCGCGAAACGAAGCCGACCACACCCACTTGAGCGCCTCCAACGTCGCCGTCCACTCGGAGCTTTCTGGCGAGCTCCGTGCCTTGTACTCCAGCCTGCAGACTTGTCTCGAGCTTAGGGACAAGTACATGGGCGCCAGTCTCCAGGGCAACATGGAGGACAATCCCAAGAACTGGGATGCCGAGTACTGTGCGCGTCACGCCGCCAAGAATGGCGACACTCCCCTTCGCCACTCGGAGACGCCCGTCGCTGAGGGTTCGATCAAGATCGACGGCGCCTCCGTGGACGAAACCACGCAGAAACCCAAACCCTGGCGCATCTACCCTGCCCCGCCCCGCCCCCACTGGGAGTTATTCAACCCTCCGCCCGAGTCTTCGTTCGTGGTCCGACCCACCTCGGTCAACCCGCTACCCCCTCCCATCCCGCCTGCCAGTCCCGCCAACGCGCGGGCTGCCCAGGCTCTGCTCGAGAGCACCGGTGGCAGGCCCGGCCAGTATCGCGACGAAGACGTTCTTATCCCTTCCAAGCACGTCTACAACGGTACACAGGTCACCTGGGACATGGACGAGACCGGCGTCATCCAGGTCTACCACGGCGACGCTCCTTCCGCTGTCTCGACACCGACACAGAGCGTCGACGACCCCGTCCTGGCCACCACGCACCCCGACTCCAGAAAGAAGCCTCTCTTCTCGGTCCCTACCATCCGCGAGTACTTCAAGGATCTCGACTACCTTCTCGGCGTCATTTCGGATGGCCCGGTCAAGAGCTTCGCCTGGCGCCGACTCAAGTACCTCGAGAGCAAGTGGAACCTCTACTTCCTGCTCAACGAGTACCGCGAGCTTGCCGACATGAAGCGCGTGCCCCATCGTGACTTCTACAACGTGCGCAAGGTCGACACGCACGTCCACCACAGCGCTTCCATGAACCAGAAGCATCTGCTCCGCTTCATCAAGGCCAAGATCAAGCGCTTCCCCGACGACGTCGTCATCCACAGAGACGGCAAGGCGCTCACCTTGCAGCAGGTGTTCGAGTCGCTCAAACTCACCGCCTACGACCTCAGCATTGACACGCTCGACATGCACGCCCACCAAGACGCCTTCCACCGCTTCGATAAGTTTAACCTAAAGTACAACCCCATGGGCGAATCGCGTTTGCGCGAGATCTTCCTCAAGACCGACAACCTCATCAAGGGCAGGTATCTCGCCGAGCTCACCAAGGAAGTCATGAACGATCTCGAGCAGAGCAAGTATCAGATGGCCGAGTACCGCGTCTCCATCTACGGCCGCACGCGCGCCGAGTGGGACAAGCTCGCCAGCTGGGTGGTGGACAACGGACTCTTCAGTCCCAACGTGCGATGGCTCATCCAAGTGCCGAGGCTCTACGACGTGTACAAGGCCAACGGCACGGTCGACAACTTTGAGCAGATCATCCGCAACGTCTTCGAGCCTCTGTTCGAGGTGACGCAGAACCCACAGAGCCATCCCAAGCTGCACGTCTTCCTCCAGCGCGTCGTTGGCTTCGACCTGGTCGACGACGAGAGCAAGCCCGAGCGACGTGTGCACAAGAAGTTCCCCGTGCCCAAGCTGTGGGACTTCAAGGACAGTCCGCCGTACAACTACTGGCTCTACTACATGTTTGCCAACCTCTCGAGCCTCAACCAGTGGCGCAAGCTGCGGGGCTTCAACACGTTTGTGCTGCGACCGCACGCGGGCGAGGCTGGCGACACCGACCACATGGCGGCTGCCTTCCTGACGTCGCAGTCGATCTCGCACGGCATCTTACTGCGCAAGGTGCCGGCTCTGCAGTATCTGTACTACCTCAAGCAGATTGGACTCGCCATGTCGCCGCTCAGCAACAATGCGCTGTTCCTGTCGTACGAGCGCAACCCGTTCCCGACGTTCCTCAAGATGGGCATGAACGTGTCGATCAGCACCGACGACCCGCTGCAGTTCCACCTGTCCAAGGAGCCGCTGCTGGAGGAGTACTCGGTGGCGACGCAGATCTACAAGCTGACGCCGGCGGACATGTGCGAGCTGGCGCGCAACTCGGTGCTGCAGTCCGGATGGGAGATGGAGATCAAGCGCCACTGGCTGGGGCCCAACTTCCAGCTGCCGGGCCCGCGCGGCAACGTGGTGGCCAAGAGCAACGTGCCCGACATCCGGCTGCGATTCCGCGAGGAGACGCTGCGCGAGGAACTCGATCTGGTGTGGCAGACGCAGCCGGCGGCGGCCTGACGAGACGGAATGGGACGGTGTACACAAATGCTCCCAGTCTGGTCGAATTGGAATTCTTTTGTCTCCCCTCGTTTGCTCACGAATGATGGACCGAAGTGATGCGCGTTACGAGATGATGCACGAATGGTCTCTTTGATGCAGGAGCATGAGTGTGCCGATGGATATGGGATTGCAGTGCGTTTTGTGGATTGGGAGGGTTTTACGCCTGCGACAGCTCGACTGCGATCTTGACTGCTCCGAGCAGCGCTGTGAGCTGCAACTTCTCTGATCCGCCCGTGCTGAGTCTGTGCCTTGATTGGCGTGAGCGGAGAGGATATGGACGGGTGTCAGTATGCTGCTATTCTGGCGGTGAGGGGAAGGTGGGACGTGTGCTTACTCTGTATCTGCGAGATGGTCCAGCAGGTAGATCCTGGACTTTGGTGGGAGCTTTATGCTGGCGAGGAGGTCGTAGACGCCGCTGATCATGTCTGCAAGCGCGATGCCCTTTGCGGTTTTGAGTGCGACGATGGTGTTGAAGGCAGTGGTGAATTCGTCCTGCATCATGGACTTGAGGACCGCCTCGATGTCCTCGGGGTGTGGGTTGCCCGTACAGTTGTACACTGCCGTTTCGTCGATGTGGTCGGATGCGGCGTGGCAGGCTTGGAGCACGTTGAGTGCCCGACGCATGTCGCCGCGCGAAAGCTTGAGCAGCGCTTCCTTGCCGCCGGGGGTGATGTTGCAGTGCTCGGACTCGATGACGTGCTGAAGACGCGACTCGACCTGGTCTGGTTCGAGCGGGTTGAATCGGAAGCGGGTGCAGCGAGACTGGATGGCGGGAATGATCTTGTTGACGTAGTTGCAGATGATGCAGAAGCGCACGTTTTTGGTGTATTGCTCGATGACTCTTCGTAGGGCGCCTTGGGCAGCCTGCGTCATGGCATCTGCTTCATCGAGCACGATGAGTTTGAAGCCAGCCTTTGCGCCGAAGACGCTCTTGGTGCTGGCAAAGCTCTTGATCTGTTCCCTCACCACGTCGATTCCTCTCTCGTCCGAGGCGTTGAGCTCGAGCACGCTGTTGCGGAACTGGGCGCCATAGATCTTGCGCGCCATGGCGAGGATCGTCGACGTCTTACCCGTACCCGGCGGACCGTAGAAGAGCAGGTGCGGGAGACGGTTCTTGTCGATAAAGTTCTGGATGGTCGATGTGATGTCCTTGTGCGAGACGAGGTCGTCGAGGGTGACGGGACGGTACTTTTCCACCCAGGGCAGGAGGTCCTGGTCGGGGGCGGCGGAAGAGGTGGCATCGGTCGCCTTGCCCTTGCCTTTGGAATCCATTGTCGGGAGTGCTGACGCGCAGTGGGGTGGCGACGGGGACAAGCGAGAGGGAGAGAGTGAGAACGATATGTATGGCAGATGAGAAGCGGCCGTGGTGGGATGGTGAGAGTCGGTGATGTCGCAGCAGCTGTTGTTCTTTTGCGAAGAGCGCCCGCCCACTCTACGCGACTCGCACTCGCCGCACGGAGCGCGACTCTTCTGACGCAGCCCAAAGCGCGTTTCCTCTGCCATTCGCAGCGTGTTGGATCGAGTCGCGCTGCAATCAATTCCCCTCCACCCGGATCAGACGCACGCTGCCACGCTCTGGCAAGGAGCATCAAGCCGTTGATTCTCACAATCGGCGCTCAGGGCAGACATCGTATAGGGCAAAATGCTGTATTGGCCCTTCACGCAATGCCTACTTGCATCACGCCAACACGCGCCAGGTTGCGTGCAAGCGACAGACGAACCGCATCCAGCTTGTCCGACGCCTTGAAACCTGCCGAGTCCTGCTGTCCTTTTTGTCGCTTGTTCTGCTCGCTCTCTACGCCGAGCAGCTGGTCCAGGTAGCCGAGGAAGTGGTGGGCCATGTCGGGATGCATGGCCACGGCGTTGGTGATGCGCTCGACGATGCGGATCATCTCAAACGTCTGTGCGCGGTCGAACCACGTTGCCTGTCCGTCCTCGAGCAGGGGGATCGCGTCCACGAGCAGCACCGCCAGGAAGCGCTCGGGCGCCGCTTCGGTCGTCACCAGCTCCACCAGCAGGCTCGCTGCGGCCGTCCATTGTCCATCGGCGTAGAGTCGGTGGAAGTCGCGGAAGCGCGCCAGGAACGCCAGCCGCTTGGAAAACAGCGTAGGACGCCCAAACTCGCGCTCGTCGTCTGGCGGTGCGATCAACGACGTCGGCACCGAATCAACAATCTCGTCAAACGCCTCGGCGCCTCGCGTGACGTATTCGACCAGGATGCGGTCGGCGATCGTACGGATGAGCACCGTGTCCGACGCGCGCACGCAGTAGGCGATCGCCACGCCGTACTCGCCCTTGTCCATGCACGAGCGCGACATTCGGCGGCAGATCACACGCGCCTCGGCCTCCAGGCCGTGCTCCGAACATGCGCGAAGCACTTGCTCTGCCCGTGCGAGAGGTGCGGGTGGCGCAGCCACCCCCTCGTCGTCGCCGTCGTCCATCGCATTGTCCTCCTCTTGGCCTTGCTGCTCTGGGCCGTCCAGTGGCACCGAAAGGATGACGTGCGACATCTTGTTCCTGCCCTTGGCTCCACATGCTGCGAGGTAGTCGATGCTGATGCGCCACAGCCCTTGCTCGTCCAGCAGATGCTGCGCATACTGGAGCACGAGCTGCTGCCGCAAATCCGACTGCAACGATACCTCGTCCTCCAGCAGCCCCACCTTGTCCGCCAGATCGCCCAGATGAGCGCCGAGCCAGACATCCACCTCCTGCGATCTTTGCACCGCCTGACGCACCTCGCCCCTGATAAGGTGCTGCTGCACCGCCTCGCTCGCAAGCGTGGCGTCGACGGGGAACTTGTCCAGGATGATGGCTGCCGTTGTGGGCACATCGTCTCGCTTGAGCGTCGGATGCACAAGCGTACCCCACGCGCCCAGAGCCTCGCGCCAGTCTTCGCAGGCTTCAAAGATGCGATCCTTGACGCCCGCCATGAGCTCGAGCAGGCATCGGAACTGTGCCTCGTACTCGAGCCTCTCGTCCTCGACGTCTTCGGTGTTGCCCGCTTCAGCCTCCATTTCGTCCATCTCCTGCTCGAGCGCGCTGATGAGTTTGCGCACCGAGGCGAGCCAGCTGCGGTGCGCGCTCACGAATTCGTGCTCCATGGAGAAGGCGGTGGAGCGCGGCAGCGTCGACAGCAGGCGTGCTGCCTTCTGTGCGATCCTGCGGATGACCGCCGAGTGGTGCGAGTCGAGCGACTTGAGCACTTCCGCCGCCGAGGTGTGAAAGCCGCGCAGCACGCAGCGCAGCACATAGTCCCAGTAGGATGGATGCTCGTGTGGGACTGCCGACTCTGCGATCTCCTGTCCCTCCTCTGTGGTAGGTGCAACGTCGAACGAGTTGAGCCAGTGCAGCAGCTCCTCTCCCACCACGCTGACTCCGCGCCCATCTTTGGGGTAGTAAAGCACCTCTGCGAGCTGAAGGATGGTGTGCGCCTGCTGCCACTGTTGCACGTCCACTTCGGCGTCTTCGTCGAGCTGCACGCGTTCGAGGTAGTCCTGGATGGCGCGCGAGTAGTGTCCGCTGATCCTGTTGTAGTACTGGATCGTTTCGGCTGACGGCAGCACGGACGCGCCGTGGCCTGCACGATCCGTGAGCAGCGACTCGTGGTGGATGCGCTGCAGCGAGGTGAAGATGGTGTACGTCTGGGCGTAGAGCGTCTTCAAGTCCGAAGACGTGCCCCAGTCGTAGCTCACCGCGGGTGTTTCTGAGCTGCCTGACATGGTGGCTGATGCAGCTGGCAGATGAGGGTGAGGG